TCATATAAGCAAATTTAATTACTAAGGAAAGAAGAATTTATTTAAAATATAACCAGAAACTATTAAAAACAATAAAATAATAAAGAATCTGAGGCATCGACCTCTTGACCATCCATATCACATTTTTTACTGGGTGATATTTTTTGCAATTGAACTAAAAGAATATGCATTACAATGGTAGATTAAAATTTTCATATAAATTAGGTGCATATGTACCCATTCCAACCAAAGCGGATCCGGCCACATTAAATTTATTATCATATGATATTTAAATCTACATGGAATGTAATTGATTTATATTTAGGGTGGTTTACTAGAATGATCTTATCAAGCAAAGATTTGGACTAGAATGACCTCTATCTTTGAATATTATTAGAATGACCTTGAAATTTTTTTAATTCCTGTGTTAACCTTATTTCATTTGAAGACAAAAAATATATTTACGAAACTGCCATTAATGAAGCCGAAATTTTTTTCCACCAAAATTAAATAAGTCTACCATTCTGTTACGGTAGACTTATTAAACGTCTGGTAGACTTATTACGGCGTACGCGATGGTAGACTTATTTATAGTTGTGGTAGATTTATAATATGTGGTAGACTTATTCGTAATACTGGTAGACTTAATTTTGGGATCGGTAGACTTATTTGTAGTAGTGGTAGATTTATAAAGTGGTCGGTAAACTTATTACGGTGCAGGCTGTGGTAGACTTGTTATAGTAGTGGTAGACTTATTGTAAGTAGTGTTAGACTTATTGTAAGTTGTGGTAGACTTATTGAGTAGTTGCGGTAGACTTATGCGTTATAGTGGTAGACTTATTTATAGTTGTGGTAGATTTATTTTTGAGTGGTCGACTTATTAGTGGTTGTGGTAGATTTATTGTTGTGATTGGTAGATTTATTGATGGTTCGTGCGATGGTAGACTTATTTATAGTTATGGTAGATTTATTTGTGAGTGATAGACTTATTAGTAGTAGTGGTAGACTTATTAATGGTTTGCGCGATGGTAGACTTGTTTATAGTAGTGATAGATTTATAAGATGTGGTAGACTTATTTGTAGTACTGGTAGACTTAATTTTACGATAGGTATACTTATTTGTAGTGATGGTAGTTTTAATTTTTTGATTGATAGACTTATTGATGTTTAGCGATGGTAGACTTATTTATAGTAGTGGTAGATTTATAATATCTGATAGACTTATATTTAGTGGTGGTAGACTTAATTCTGGTTTCGCTCGATGGTAGACTTGTTTAAAGTTGTGGTAAATTTATTAAATTTGGTAGACTTATTTGTCTTTGTGGTAGACTTATTAAATCTTTTCAGAGTTTTACTAGAATGACCTTACTTAATTACATTTGTGGTAGATTTATTTATAATAGTGGTAGATTTATAATATGTGGTAGTGGTAGATTTATAATATGTGGTAGACTTATTTGTAGTAGTGGTAGACTTATAATATTTATTTATAGTAGTGGTAGATTTATTCAATGAAGGACAAAATCGTAATTTACCCTTCATCTTCTCCAACACACCCAAGCTTATGTCAAACCCTAACAATGGTGGCCAACTCATTTTTAGCTCGTTTTTGCTGTGTTTTAATTTGTTTTCAACTGGTTTTAGCCTAAAACTAGTAGATCTAACATCATATATCTATTTTCTAACAAAAAATCAAAAGATTTTGAGTTTTTTTTTCAACTTTTGATTTTTAGTTCAATTTTTACCTAAATCTCGGTGCTTCTGCAGCCTCCCCACCTTGGCCGAGCACGATCCGGTGCTTCCGCAGCCTCCGCGACGGTGGTTTCAAACAAATATTTTATTTATTGGTTTAAAGAATTTCCAACGTATACATGTGGTGGTAGACTTATTGGGTAGTTATGATAGATTTATAAGTTTTTTTTTTTAGGTTTCAGGATGGCAGTTGCGTAAATAAAATAGATTATTAAAGTTTATTTGTCTTTTATCGAGTTGTGTCAAGTTACTAGATTTGACAAAATCATTCTAGTAATTACCCTACTTTCCAAAGTCATTCTAGTAATTAACTCTTATATTTATTGTTATTTTTGTTTTCTAGGTGTTTAGAAAAAATGGAAAATTCATACGAGTGTTGCAAAGTAAGCTTTTTCGTTTAAGTAGATTAAATTTATAGTCAACAAATGTTGAGCAAGATGATCGTTATTCACCATATACTCTTAACACCGACTTCTAACAAACATTAAATGACGTAGGTAGCGATGATGATATAGGAGTGGATGAAACTCCATAAAGTAGTAAGACTCAATTTCTCTAGGATTATCATTTGCTGATGAGTTTCCACAAGTTGGTCAATCACCAATATCCACTGCTAGAAAACAAACACAAAATTCTCCATCCCATACAAATAGACCAAGCTTGCGTATTCGAAATACTACTACTACACACCAATCGAAGAAGGATCAACTTCGAAACCCAAGTTCAAACATGCTTTCAACGTCTTGAAGACTCTCGTACAAACTTATCGGATGTCTTATGTTAATGACACATCATAAACGCAACTTTAGGAGAGGCTTCAACTGGACAAAACATGCTTGATGGTTGAATCGATACAAAAAAAATTTGGGCAGCAAGTTATTGATAAAAAAAAAAAAAACAATATTCCTAATGAATTTTTGAATTAGAGGGTGAATGGAAAGGCTTATTTGGATTGATTTATATAGTCGTCCATGTGATATTATCAATTTAATAGATTCAAAGAGCTTCACACTCCTTATGTTACAGTCATATATTCACAAATGATAGGA